CGAACAACCGCTCTAGCAGCATTTCTACTTTTAAGTGCATACAAAGCTCAACAAAAACGCACGCCCATGCCAGCTAGCCTGATGCGCCCCAGCCTAGGATTTTTCTTAGCTTCAAAAAGTTACACTTCGGATAAAACTGATGCTCACAGCATTCAGGATATCATATCTAGAATTTATTTCTAGTGATGGTTGTAATATCACGGTAGTTCCAAAATTTTTTTATATATGAGATTTAGCAGTTGCACTGTTGAAATGAGATTGAAGGCGAAATTTCTGTCTTTGTCAGCCATCGCCCAACTGACTGAAGATATATCTCTGTTTTGCATTACTGTGCTTTTATCCTTCTATTGTCATAGTATCCGTGAAGTTTTCAGGTGGTCGTTTAACAACCTGAAACAGGTTGGGCGACCAGGCTTTTTTGTCCTGAGATAGGTGCTGCCGGTTTTACTTGTCTTCCAGGTTTCTTTTATCTTCGAAGCAATGGAAAATTTGTTCTAGCGCTACACATCACTGTCAAGGTGGTAAGCATCTGCTATCGCTTCTCAGATACAGTCGGTTATCGAAATAGCTAAATCACCAAGCATAGTGAATATAATGCGTTCCTCTGGTAAAACATTAAATTTGCCGCTTCGTGAAATTATCATTTGTTGCTCGCAATTAGTTAAAATATGGCCATTTTAATCTGCAACCAGGAAAAGAGCCGCACAATCGAAAAGGTTACCACAGCTCGATGTGTTTCTTGGGCGTTTTGTTCTGTTTTCTTAACAGTAAAATTTGTAGCCTGTTTTTCTTGTCGCTCTGTGGAAAAACAGCGTTTCGGCAGGCCATTTGGAGGAACTCACTGTGAAACTCAAAAGGGAATCAGGGATGAATGCAAACACACTGAGAAGTGTAGCAATGCGCGAGAAAGGCACCAACATCAGGTCCCATAATTTTTCCCTTATTCCATATTTTCTAGAACGTTCCGAAAAAAAAATTGAAAATTTCGCCAAAACTAAAGCTTGTGAATTTTCCAAAACTTTTATATGCAACGTTATTTGACATTTCACAGGCTTCCAAAAAATTCCATTAACCACTTTGCTGGCACAGCGTAAAGTCACGCAGTGAATTGTGCAACTCTCACTTTAGG